GGAAAGGACACACAACCACTCATCTTGAGGTTGTTGGGGCCATCTTCCATTTGGCCTTTCCAGCCTCAGCAAGGTCTCCCCGTGGGGGTTGTACAAGGTACTTGGGACCACCTCAATGGGTATCTAGAGCTACCTGGGTCATTTATGGTCAAGATGGGCACTTGTGCAAGTCAGGATTCTTCTGTTATAAGAGTTACAAATCCAATCCTTGCTCATTTGGGCAAAAAGAAAAACAAAAACAAAAACATTGCCTCAAGGAACCCAATAATGGAAAACCGCATGGGTGGAGTTGAGCCTAGGGATGAAGGCATCCAGGGACTGGTTCCCTCCCTCCCTGCCCCTCCTTCTCTCCCATCAAACACACACACACACACACAGAAACACATTTCTTCTCCTGTCTCTGGGTTGACTTTATTTTCCCAGTCCCTTTTCTATGGGGCAAGGACTTGGTTGTCAGGCTTACATTCTTCTAGTCATCCGCAAAGGGAAGTAGAAAGTTTTTCCTATTAACTCCAGATGGGAAAAAAAAAAAAAAAAAAAAAGCAGGTGGCCTGGGCAGGGGGTGTGTGATGTATGTGTGTGTGCGTGTGTGTATGTGTGTGTAGTGTCCCTGTTGGCTCAGCCTGGGTGTGATGCCCAGTAACATGCAGGGTGGGAGAGGTTAGTTGCCAAGAGAACCTTGTGGAGGAAAGGGATGAAGAGGATTTCTCTAAAGAAAGTGGGTAATATTTGCACAAAAAAAGGGGGGTGGTGAAAAGTACTGGACACTTTTTAAAAATGTCTCTACCTTCATTGTTCCATTGATCCATATTCTTAAGTTTAAAGCAAACGGATGAACTGCTCTGCAACAGGGAACTTGTCCCTGCTGTCATTACACTGTTTTTCAGGAAGCATCGTGAATCTGTCCTAAAAACCCCAACAGGTATCAGTAACTCCTGGATGTTTTTACTTTAGTCTGGGTTAGTCCTGAAGAAGATAGCACCTCTGCTCACGTGACTAGAGCCAGTCTGCCTGGCCCGGCCAGCATTTCTCCCTCTGTCCCATTGCTTTTCTGTCTCCTCTGGGGGACTTGGGGTTCCTGGTGTGTAAGACCTATGTCTCCTGCCTGGGTGTCTTCCAGCACATGGCATGGAACTTGGCACAGAAGCTGATGCTCAAGGAATGTTTCCCAAGAGAGTCAGTGAATGATAATGACTAGCCCAGCAGTGCCACTGGTGGGAAACGAATCAAGCGTCAGGAGTGGAAGGAGCCCTGGCACCACTGCATGTAACTCACACATGAGTCCAAATGCATATTCATACAAGCCCACATGCATGATTAACTTGGGAAGCTGACAGGAAGCAGTCAATCTGTTGAGCAAGTTTGTGTTTTATAAACCAGATGTTTGGTATTATTATTCATCATTTCCTTTGATACCAGAACAGTCCCCATTTTGTAGCATAGGAAATGAAGGATATGGAATAATATACACTTATTATACAACAGAGCACCACAACCAACCATTTCGGAGGCCTGTTCAAAGCCTGGGCAAATGCAGTGGAATGGTAGTTCATTTTAGGATTCCCACTTGGGCTTAAGTTAATAGGATTTTACCCAGATGGACCACGGTGACCTCCCTCTCCCATTCCTACCCTTTGGAACGTGAGTGTTGACTCTGTGTCTGTGTTTTTCTCGGAAGCCACGTGTATGAATCATAAGCAGCTCTTGCCTCAGCAGCTACTACAGGTTAGGGGGCACAGAAAAGCAGGGACCCCCTAGCGTGTGGGGACAGAGGATGTCTGGCCACGGTTGGCTCCCTAACTCCTGCTTGGTGGTCTAGACACAACGCCTTTGCCCCTGGCTGCTATTTCCTATGGCAGGAGTACAGAAAGACTTTTGATTGTAAAGCGCTCACAGTGCAAATTAACTTTCAAATGTTTCTTCTCCATGAAATGCTCAAGATTCGCAGACCCAAATCTGTGAGACTGGGAGAGATGGGGCTGGTGGGTGCAGAGGAGCATCTTAATGTCACGCACTAGTATTCCCGGGCTTCGCCAGCCCTCGTGGCCATAGTGGTGAGCTGTACACATCAAGAAGGCTCCAGGTTAAGATTCTGGCCAAGCCAGTCCAGAACTGCCCCGGGAGAGAGAGCATGTCCTCCCAGCACAGTGGCTAGACTGAGCTCACGGCAGTTCCTTTGTTTACCAGAGGCTGGTTAAAAAATGAGTGGTTTCTGTACACATGCAACATTATGGGGACTTTTTTTTTTTTTTGTAAGGTAATGATGGGCCGTAATTACTTTTGGAATTAGCCTCTGAGTGAAGTTGATACTATATGCTGGCTTAATATTTGGAAGTTAGTTTCCAAACTAATCTTGTATGTGTGCCAGAACGATTACCAGTGACTTATAACTGAGTCTTACTGGTTGCAGGAGAAAGCTTCATTTCTCATTATTGTTGGTGGTATGTTTTGATTTCATCCATGATACATGTTGGCATCGCTTGAAATTTTGATTTGAGTTGCAAAGTGGAAGTTACCCGGGGTTATGGATCAGCTCAAATCAGTTTTCTATATAGCATTGAGGATTAATCAAGGAATCAGGACATGGGGAGATCTCCAATCCTAAGAGAGGTATTTATGTGGGTTGGTTCTGCCTTTGAAAATGGCCTTCCCTACCCCCAATGGTGACCATAGGATACTTTAAGTATTTTTAGCAAGGTGTTGGAACCATGTCTTCACAAACTGTCATTATCATCTCATAGTTAATATTATTTAGTTATTAATATTATGATGTAGTAGTAAGTTTGTTGTCTTATTCTCACACCCAAATTAGGCTGCCCCAAATAATAGATTACATGATTACCACATGTATCACTCAGGGCTCTCCAGAGAAAGAGAAGCATAGGGGATAGATACATTTTTCTTTTTATCTGTAGGATATATATCATATATATGGAGTGGGGGAGAGAGAGAGAGATTGATTGTAAGGAATTGCCTCGCACAGTTGTGGGGGCTGACACATTGGAAATTGGTAGGGTGTGTTGGCAGGCTGGAAGGTCCAGCAGGAGGGGATGAAGGCAGTTGGGAAGCAGAATTCCTTCTTCCTTCAGGGACCTGTTTTTTTCCTCCTAAAGCCTTGAACTGATTGGAGGAGACATACACACATTATGGAGGGTCATCTGCTTTATCAAAGGTTGCTTATTTAAATGTGAATCACATCTAGAAAGATACATTCAGGACAGCATTTAGACTGGTGTTTGATCAAAACACTGGGCACCATGGCCAAGTTGACACATAAAATTAACCATCACACCATAAATTCCCAGCCCTTGAGTGAACATGCAATTCTTGCCTCATCTTGTTAGTCATGGAGGAATACAGGTCCACCTTGACAGGGATGGCTAAAACATGGCCCCATCTGTCTCTGGTAGGAGCCCTTCCCTATGCCTACAAGCTTCTCTTAAGCTATCATGAGTACTGATGGTAGAAAGGATTGCCCTATAATAATGCTCCTTGAATTTTAATATGCATACTAATTATTAAAACATTCAGATTCAGAGGGTCTAGAATGGGGTTCAGGATTATTCATTTCTAACACAGTCATGCTGCTGTTCCATGAACCATGTTATACCCTATATACCCTATAGCTTGAAGAATCCATTGAAAGAGCAAGATGGATGGAAGATGGACTGAGTTTGATGACCTTTTCTCCAAAGGCCAGCCAGTCCATGGAGACCTCAGTCCGTGGGGGCCCTTAGTTTTTAGAATCTTCTCTTTAAAATGCCTCTTCCCAAGAAGATTGAGGGAACAATACCTGATTTTTCTATGGAACTAAAGCTCTGGAGAAGTACTCACACATCAGAAAACACTGTCCACTGAAGATAGTGGATTCTCATTCACAGATGGTTTCATGTGAGGCTAGAATGGGCCAACTAGAAAGGATCTCTCTCCCACCAGACTTGCTATGGTAATTTTGGTCCCTGTCAGAAGTGTCACATGCCTTGGTCTCACTCTGGACTCTGCTACTTACTAGCCACATGACCTTGCAGGCATGGAAAAGAAACCAGCATCCTTTGAGCACGTCCTTATGCCAGGCAGTGTGCTGGGCAGTTTCACGTTTTATCTTCATAGCAACAATGCTGGGGAATAATTGGCATTATTTCCTATGAGGATATGGAGGCTTAACAAATACGGCTAATAAAGATTGAAAGCCAAGGTTGTCTTGGACCCAAGCCTACTGTGGTCCTGGACTCTGTTTCCCCATTTGTTATTGGGGCGGGGTAGGGTTCCTGCCTATCTCCAAACACTGTGTGAAAAGCAGATGTGATGCTGAGTCTCAATGCATTTGTATGCAATTCAGATGGTCCCAGAAGTGTATTGTTTGCCCTCCTTCAAGGGTTGTTATTCCAGGAGAAATATTTAGCTTCTTAGCAGTGATTTTAAGGATCAGATGATAAAGCTATTTGTTGTGTTTTGGTTTTGTTTTGTTTCCTGTCTGGGACTGGCACACAGAGATGTGTAGAGGTACCAAAAGGCCTTGACTCAGCTACCTCAGGGAGAATAAATGATTCCAGATTCCATTGTTTCCAGCAGGGCAGGGGCAACTCATAAAACCCCTTATGCTCATGTTTTCTGATCCTCAATTTTCAGATTAAGGAGAAGCATTGGTATTGCACATAAATGTCTGCAAAGTAAAAGGATAAAATCAATCTGTGGTCATAAAATGAATCACTAAGATCCAAACCAGGCTTTCTTTGAACCCAAAGGGCTGATTGCAGTAACAGATCAGCTGGACTGACTGACTGCGACTGACTTTGTTTCCCCAGCCATGGACTGGGATCCTTATCTGCTAGTCAGAGTAGAGGGACGTTGCACTCTCTTCTAGGCTACTGGCCTGAGTAGACAGTGGTCCATTCCCAATGGCCCTGGTCAGGAAACTATGAGCCAGTCAAGGGCCATGGCCACCAGCCATCTGTTGTTTCCAGATCATTCCCGGGTAACTGACTTCTCTCTCCATCCAGCTTGCCGAGGATCAGGGCCTCGTCCTGATGACCACAGTCGCCATGCCTGTGTTTAGTAAGCAGAATGAAACCGTGAGTACAGCAGCCACATTCCTGCGTGGTGCTAGGAGGGTTGCCATCTCAGACACCCTCTGACTCAAGCTCTGGTGACCTTTCTTTATTTATGTTAAGTTAGGATGGGGGATCTATCACTTTTCCTCACTTAATTCTGTTGTTAGAATCACAACATCAAGAATAGACGAGAGGACTTCTGGGAGATGTCATGTGACAGTATGCAGCACTTTTCCCAAAATTAGGTGTGAAATGACCAATGGAAGGCAAAACCCAGAGAGAATCCTTGTGTGTGATTGGATGACCCCTTCCCGATGTATAGCGACCAGCCCTGTGTTAGTTTCCTTGGGCTGTGTTAACAGAGGATCACAAATATGGGGTGGCTTAAAACAATAGAAATTTATTCTCCCAGTTATGGAGTCTAGAAGCCCAAAACCATGGCGTTGGCAGGGCCGTGCTTCCTCAGAAGGCTCTAGAAGATCCTTCCAGTGCCTGGATGTTCCTCGGTTTGTGGCAGCTCTGCCTCCATCTCCACGTGGCCTTCTCCTCTCATGGGTCTCTCTGTCCCCTTATAAGGACACGAGTTGTTGGATACAGGGCCCATCCTAGATCCAGGATGATTTCGCCTTGAAGGGATTACACCCTGTTTCTAAAAAGCGTCACCTTCTGAGGTTCCAGGTGGATTTGAACTGGAGGGAAACAATGGACAGTAGCAATTTGTGTCTTCCTCCGGGAGGTCTTTCTGACCCCTACAGTTTCAACACATCACGCTGACTTTGGAAACTGGGACCCTCCCTGGGGGCCTATTCCTTCACCTTGGTCCTTGGTTCCAACATGCTGCTACAGGTGTGAGAGTTATTCCATCTTTCCCCCTGGGCGCCAGATGGCAGTGTACATTGAGAGAGCAGTTAGGCTAAGTCTTTCCTGGAGAAAGCTTCCATAAAATAAACTGGTTAATGCTCATAGCCCCTAGCTGCTAAAACTTTTGTGCTTCTACATGTTAATTTTGAATTTTCAGGCGGGAGAAGAGATGTTTGGTAGGGCATCTTGATATGGGTGTGTGTGGAAAGGTACCATAGTGAGTGTTTGGCCTGAGAACCTACCATTCGTGTCCAGCAATATTTGCGGGTTGGGGTGGGGGATAGAAGAGGGGCCTCGTAGAAATCTGGGTTAATCCTCAATCTCTGGAGGCTTCGAAAAGGCACCAGACGGTGACCTGTTGTGTGTTGGCTTCTCACTCAATTCTGCTTCTTCCAGCAAAGTAACTCATTATTGTTGTTGCTTACTGTTTGTTTCTCAGCAGAGATCGAAGGGCATTCTTCTGGGTGTGGTCGGCACCGATGTCCCAGTAAAAGAGCTTCTGAAGACCATTCCCAAGTACAAGGTAATGCATCACCTAATAGTCAAGGGCCAAGTGTCTAAGGTACTTTCACAACCTGCCATAGTGGTAATGAAAACAGGAAGGAAAGAGGCCCCTCTACTCTCTTCCTGGTTGGAAGAACAGTAACAGTTCTGGCAGATCTGAGTAGGTCTACATGTGCTGCCCAGGTTTTTATGGGTCCATGGGAATCCATATGTTTATGCAGGTCCACACAGGTCCTATATCTCTGATGGTCTTCTAAACCAGTCCTAACTCAGCCCAATCTGAGGATCCCCTAAAATATGTTACTTCTTAGCAGGAACCCAATGAGGCACAAAGAGAAATGGTCTCTGACTCTATTGCTTGAGTATTCCCTCTATCTTGGAAGGTAATTGTGTACATACCAATTAATACTCTTTTCCTAATTCTAAATTAAAATCCACTAAGACAATCGTAAGTTTCTTTTTTTTTAACTCTGGGTGTAATCGAGGGGGTAGAGTAGGTAATTTTGGAACAGAGAGGACACAGCAAGCCTTAGTGGGCCACTGCTTTGGGAGCCTAGACCAGCATAAGAGCATGGCAAGGAGAAGGAGCACAGATAGAAGGGACTCAGAACCGGGGTGGACATGCCTGAACCCTGCTCTGTGTGCGAGGCCAGCCCTGCATCGGGGAGAGACGGAGGCCACACTTGCCCCTTTATCCAGCCCACACTGCATTCCCGGAACTCTGTTCCCAGCACTGTTCCTTCAATTCATTTAGTTCTTCTACATTTGGGACAGAGGTGGCTCTTGTGGGCCATCCCAATGCCGCCGCCCTCAGCCAGGCCTAACTCTGTCCCCATGAGAACAGGCATCCCCAGCTCCAGGTGACTTCCCAGCTGTCTGCGGACTGGAATCTGCCCCATCTGGGGCAGACGGGCCCCACACAAGCATCCGCCCCAAGCTGATGGATGGCACCGGCCCCTAGGCTGATGGCAAAGGGGTGGCAAGCCTCCACGAAGGTGACTGGTGGCAGTAGCCATCTTGGGGTCCACGAGAATGACATCAATTGGTCCTTATGTCCTCTGGCTGCTCAAGGTACACTGCCGTGGTTAGATCAGCACTTGAGTGAAATCAGAGCAACGGACAGAGCACTGGACATACCAGGGGCCTGGTTTCCACCACAGCCAGGCTCTAGGCTCTAGGTCCTTTCAAGCCGTGTTGTCCTAACAGCCTGTCCTCGTACCAGCTGCACCTTAATGAGCTCCCCTAACCCTGGCCTGAGCAATCACATGTGGAATCATAAGTTGAGATGTGCTCATTATATTTTTCCGATACACAAGTTAGCCAAGGGGAGTGACATGTCCTTTTAAAAAGATGACCCAGAGAGGCCTTGAACTCCATATGGAAAACTCTTAGTTGTTCCCTGTGGCAGCTCCATGGAAGAAAGTCCCCTGAAGCCCCACCACAGCAGTGCCTAACTGCCCAAGAGCTGGCTCTGTGTGTATGCAAACATGGGGGTGCAGGGGAGGGGGGCAGAGAGCACCCTGCTCCTGTCCTGAGAGGTGTTCATTGGATGGACACGGTTTCCCTGACTGCACAAGGGTCAAAACCACACCCGTGCCCTCTTCCCCCAGCCCTGGGCAGACTGACTTGCCCACCTCTTCTTTGGTCCACTCTTGGATGGACAGAGACTCCCTTTGCCCTCATCTGGAGGCAGGAAAACGCCTTTGGGCCAGGTATCTGAGATTGTTGACTGGCTAACAGGGTCCCCTTCCTTACCACCTCCTTCCCTGACGTGCTGAGCCTGATTCGCCACAGTTGTGAGAGGCCGGGGACCTTCTTGGGCCTCAGCAGGAGGAAGATAGTGGTTAGTGCTCTGGAAGCAGATACACCAGGATCCCAGCTCCAACACTGAGGAGCTCTGAGTAGACAAGTCTCTCAAAGCCTTAGTTCTTCTCTCCAGTGGTGATAACAATACAACCTGCTCACAGATGGGCATGAAGAATTGACTGTTACCATTAACTGGGAACAATGGTAACACAGTGGTCAAGGAGACGGGTCTGACCCATGGCCGCCCGGCCCTCTTCTCTGTGGATTACTGCCAGCAGAGCACTGTTGATACCTTTCCCATGCAGCTTCAGGCACCTGTGGCCTTCATACCCACTGAACCCTCGCTAAAATAGAATGCCCAACCAAATCATGTGTGAACCGAATAACTAGGTGACCACACTCTGGGATCCTCTGCCACCTTTAAAAATGGGGTTTTCCAAGAATTTTGAAAGACACAAGGAAAGGCTTAAAATACGAAGTCATATGCAGTAGGCAGTTGACAACAAGGACAGGCTTACCTTTGGACAGAGGGTCAGGACAAGAGCAAGCCAATGGCTCGGCCCGTCACCAGGCATCCTGGCAAACTCTTATCTGAGCAAGTCAGCTGAGCGGACCGCTGCGGCCAAATCGGGTCATCCCTCAGCGGGTTGGATGCAAAGTGAGAGATGCATAAAATGGCTGTTTACAAAAGCACCGTTTTGTGGTACCGGATGGTGTCTCGTGGTGTAGTATTAGCAGATAACATTTGCCAGGACTAGGCACTGTGCAAAGTGCGTGACCCACATCATGGTACCAGGTGCCTCTTAGATAAGTGCAGTGTTCTTGTACCCATTCTGCTCCTAAGGATACTCAGGTTCATGGGGCTTCTGTCCACAGAGCTCAGGGCCACATCAATGGGAGGTGGTGAATGTGATTTGAGCCAGGTCTGCATAACTCCTGGACCCCTGCACTTCAGGAATATCTAAGCCAGTCACGTAACACTTCGTGATTTGTTGCCATACTTATGTACCATCTGTACCATTATTTACATAATAGTCCATTTGTAAAGCCAGTGTCATCAGCCACGACAGAAGAATCGCAAAAAACAAAACAAAAAATTAAAGAAATAGTATTAAATGATGGCTTGATAATCTAAGGTGTTGAACTTGAGGTCTGTTCTCTCTTTTTTAAGGTAATATGAAAGGCAAGTGTTAAAGATATACTAAGTGGAAACTTTCTTTTTAATATAATTGGAAGGACGGAAGAAATTTAAAAAGAGCTGGCTCTCACTAGTGATGCTGGCTAGTAAGTTCAATACCAGGCCCACATACCACCTAAAATCATCTTGCTCTACATTCTGGTTTTGTTTTGTTTGTTTGTTTGTTTTAAGAAAGTCAAACAGTGCATGGGAAGATGAAGGATAGCTGAGGAGTGAGCACCATGGGGATTGTTCAGCCTGGGGCAATGGGCACCCCTGCCTTCTGGGGCTCCTCTCAGCACAGACACCAGCACCATGGCCACCATCCAGAAGCCCAGGGCCACCCCTACATAACGGCCCAGGCTTCTCAGAGTCCCTAGAGGGTCTGACTCTTCCCAGCACTTTCTGTCTGGCCCTTAGCGCCTGCTCCACCCCTAGAAGAGGAAACATCTTTGAACAAGCAAGGCATGTCTGTTCCCATATGCTGTTGCCATTTAGCTGATAAAATTAGAAAGCCACCTTCATAACAAGAGGAAATGAACTCTAACCTAAAAAGAACACTCCTGGTTGGGTAACTGAGATGACAAAGGCCCTCTGTCCTCCTGCCACCCTGGGCCTCTGACAATCTGCTTCATCCACCACCAAGGCTTCTACAGTTGGGAGTTAAGTTTCCAGAGGCATGATAGGGCAGCTGGCCGATCCTAACCCACATAGTACGTTTTGGAAACTGTGTAGCTCCTCCAGGGGCTAAAAGCCACGGGAATGAAGGAGGGATTTGAGGCCCCTAAAGACAGTGGACCTTACTTGTATTGAAATTCCCAAACCCAGATGCCCAGAATTCCCGGCTCAGTGTTGAAGAAAGGGCAGCCCATCTTTAGAGAATGTTTCCAAATATTTCTTAAGCCTCTTATTTCCTATGAGAATGTGTAGAAACTCAAGTACAGGGCCACCACTGGATATATGCCCAACAATCCTGACAGGAGGAACATGATAGGGAAGTGATCATGATGAGCCTGTGCATCTGTCTGTCCTCAGAGTTTCCTCTACCAGGCATCGTGCTGAGCTCTTTACAGCACTGTGTCCCTTAATCATAGGTGGACGCTGCCATCACCTCCATCTATAGCTAAGGAAACTGAGGCACCCAAAGCTTAAATAACGTGCCAAGTCTCACAACTAGCAAGCCCGGATTTTAGCTGCTACTACCCTGAAGCCATTAGGAACAATAAATGGCAGTAATAATAGTAGCAGTTGAAATGATAGTTAAAATACTAAAAATAATATAAGAGTTAAAAATAAGACAATAAAACATTCATTGAGCTTTTTACGTGTGTTTGGTATGGTTAAGGGGTTTTAAAGGCCCCATTCCCATTGAATCATTACCATGCTTCCCCTGAATTGGGTGTCACTCGGCCCCATTCTTAGTTGAGGATACTTAAAATAACTTTCTCAGCATAACTCAGCTAATCAGAGATGAGTGAAATAAAATCTAACCACAGAATAGAGGACGATCGGCTACAGAAAATTCACCAGCGGTGCCTGAAGTAGAGGCATTTCTGCTGCATGCTTCCCCCCAAGGGTCAGGCTGGGAAGTGGAAACACAGGTATGACCTACCTGAGCCTGAGTCGGCCCTCCTCTGGTTCCCACAGAGAGACTTGGGAAATGGGGTGCACGTCAGCCCACGTGCTGAACAGGGGACAGCCACGGCTGAACAGGCTTCTCTCATCCAGGAGAAGAGCTCCAGGGAGCCGAGTGTGGATCACACCTTTTCCTCTTGATTAACACCTTGTAAAGATGAGTCAGCTCTTCGCTCTTGGGGTTTTCCCAGAAGATAGAATTCTTTCTTTACCCTTAGCTTCATAGATTTTCCCACAAGCAATCAGACTTCCTGTAATTTTTATTAAGAATTCCAGACACCCTAGCAATAACTTCCAGACACCATAACCTCTGTTAACATAATGAGCCATTTTATAATTGGGTTCACTTCATTAGCCCAAAGGCTCTGCACTTGGAAGGGAAGCACCTCCTTCCCTGGGGTGTTGGACCACGAGGATCCCAGACTCCAGGAGAGCATGCTTCAGGATGAGGGCCCTTTGGGCAGCCCCACGTGCTGAAAGGCCTTGTGTATGATTTGTTCCTATTACTCCATGGGACTGCATGGTAGAATGGACAGGAAGACTGGTTCTAGTTCAGATGAAACAAAAATTAGAGATTTCATCGGGATACTGATGTGTGGCCAACAATAAAGGCTGGGCATTGTCTTACTGTAAGCTTTTGGTTTTCTGAGAGGTTCATCCACAGAATGTGTTTTGAGGCTTACTCAGGATTTCTCTTCTTACGTCTCCATTAGGTTATGTCCACATGCCACCAACCAAGCAACAAAACATTGTGATGTTTTGTCCTCCTGGGAAGGACTTTAGCCTGATAGTTTCTGAATGTCAGGATGACTTTCTCAGGTACAGCCTTGCCAACCACCCACTGTGCACCTGCTGTGGTACATCACCTTCCCCTTTTTGGCTCATCTGTATTACTTACTTTAGTTCAAACTTTAAAGAAGAACTAGACAATATTTGGGTAGAAGGATGAATGTTTCAAACACTCATGAACCTTACTGGAGCACGTCCCGTGTGCCAGATGTTATGCTAGGGGGTGTAGAAGTCAAAGATGAGTGAGATGCTCCATGCCCACAAAGAGCGCATTGTGATGGGGGAGGCACTGCCTCATTGAGAACAAGGCAGAAGAGAGAAAGAACCAGCTAGGGCTGAGAGGCAAAGAAGTAGGTGTCCCATTTTCATGCATTAGGGTGAAGGTAGTAGTGGAAACATTCTCAAGGTTTTATGGAAACATGGTATGGAAAGGACGGAGCAATGGGGAGAGTCAGGAGAGACTTCTTATAGGACATGATCCCGATGCTGAGCTTACAGCATGGGCAAGAATTAACCGGGGAAGATGGGAAGGAGAGGTGCTCTAGACAGCTGACATTTATGAATAAAGGTGTGGGTGGGAGAGAAAGCTGCAAGGGCGTTATTGTCACTGCCATGTGCCCTAAGAAGCAATGCGTGGAAGGGTGTAAAGATGGGTAGGGACCAGGACCCAGGAGACCTGATGGATTTTATCTTACACGTGAAAGAGGTCTTTGATGGTTTTATACGGGGGAGCTACAGGGTCACAGTTGTTTTGACCTTGATCAATATGGTCGATAGCTTTGTTGGGGCCTCTGTTTGAGGCACGAAGAGCAGTTAGGACCATTGTGGAAATCTATCACATTAAATCTACATGGATGGTGGGGTGGGGAAGCAGCAATGAATTTGAGTAATTTCTGCAAGAAAAAGTAGTGATTACTTGGATTAAGAAGTTGGGGATGAAAGAAAGAAAGAAGTCTAAGGCTGATGCTCTAGTTTCTAACTTAGGAGCCTGGGTGGATGGATGGTACTCCCACAGAGAGAGAGGAGCAGCAAGAGTAGCACCCACCGTGTTGGGCTGGGTGAGTCTGAGGCACCTGGGGGATGTCCAGGTAGAGATGCCCAATACACTGTTGGACACTTGGACCTGCCAGTGAGGGGAGAGGCTACAGGCTGGAGCACAGACCCAGGGATCAGCAGCATCCAGGTGCTTGCTGAAGCGTATTGGGGAAGAGAGCTAAAGCAGACAAGGGGCTCTGGGGATAGAAGCTTGGGGGAAAAGAGTGCTTGAGGGTGGGCAGAGGATGAGGATCCTATGAAACGGAGGATACCTGGGTGTATGGGGCCTGGAAGCTGAGGGAATAGAGAGGGTCGGGAGGGAGGGCAGTCGGCCAATACAACTGGGAACATTCAAGAGAGCTTTCTGTAGGGCAGGGCCAGCCATCAGGTGGCCAGTGGCCATAGTAGAGAAGGGAGTTCTGGTGGCTTCTTGGTGGGGGGCAGGGGCACAGCAAAGGCAGATTCCAGTAGGTGGCACCAATGAGAACAGGGGTGGGGATAGCAGTTGGACAATGAGTGGAGGATACTGGGTGGGAAGTCAGCTCAGCCTTTGCATTCCAGGGGAGGAAGCAGGGTTTAGGTCAGCTATGTGGGATCTGCGCTCAAGTCCATTCCCTTCATTGTTTCCCACTTCCTCCTTTTCCACTTTCTCCCTTCCCTGCTCCTCTTCCCTCCATCCCAACCACCAGCTTGACCACATGGTTTGACTTCGGCCATCATGGAGGCAGGCATGAAATAATCAAAGTCTTGCTTGACGGATATCTTGATTCCTTATAATCAACCTCACAAATAATAGTTGTCATTTTGATTAGTACCATACAAGAAAAGTAGAGTTTAAAGAGAGCATATACAAGGAGTTCTACCTTCTTCTGAATATTACCTCCTACAAGCAAACCAAGAACTGAAGTAACGTGCGTTAGAAGGCACCGAATGTGTTAGCTGACTATAAAATATCACTGTTTGGTCAAATTTTGAGTTTGCATTTATAATCAAATACCACTTTTGCCTTTAATGGAAAAAAGTCAAACTCTCTGAGTCCTTTCTGACCCTTCGAGTCTGTATTAAACTGGGACATAATAATGGTAATTAATTCAGTGTTGACTGTGTCTGACATTCATTTTTCCAAGAGACAAGATGAAAGAGACGATATAGATCTCAAAGGATAGGAAATCTCTGGTTTATCTTTCACAGAATAATGAAATATACTTTATCATTAGAGTCTTGTAGAATCTTATTAAGACTTGCTGTGCAAGGTAACTCCAGGAGAAAATGTCTGTTGCCCTTGACGACCACATGCATATTTGCTTTATGTAATGCAAGGGAAACTTTTAATTGTTGGTGTTAAATCCTCTGAAGTTAATTCCACATCACCTTGACGTTAAGCTAACAAGCAGACAGGGTCATTCTTGGTTTGTAAACTCTGTTGTCTGGATCATTTAATAGTATCATATTCAAAAATGTGAGTGGCAGAGAATTTGAAAGAAAAGGAACAGTGAGGGCTCAAAACTATGAAATAACTTGTCGGAAAAAATAGAGGGTTTTTTTTCTTTCCTCTCCCCTTTCACTACTCTGGCAAAGTGGGTTACATTTTCTTTCTTCAGAGAGAGATCAGTATGGGTTTTATGCCAGGGGCCGTTTTAATACATGAATGATTTGTAGGTAAATTTATTGTAGCCAATGGGTGCAGTCAACTGTGTAATAGAAATATTGTCAAAAAGCTGGGATTATTATTTAAATAAGTGCAGTGTTAAATTTGATTACATACTTTTTAAAGCTAATAAAACATTTCATTGCTCTCAAACTATTTCCCATAGTCCCATTTAGTCAGAAAACATAAATTAAGTGAGGCTCTGCATAGAAAATGACCCAGGCTTTGTGTCGATGGAAGCATGCATGGAAAAGCTTGGCAGCCTCCAAATTTAAAGACGAAAGGATATAAAAAGGGGTTGGCAGGCTCCTGTCTGGGCTGGTGGGGACACTTTTATCCTTGAAGAATTATGGAAAATGACTGCCTCGTGCATGCTCGAGATGGCCCCTATGGTTGTGGACTTGTACGAAGTCTAGATGTGATCAGAGGAGGCCTCCTCTTCGCTCTCCTTATCATGGGGAGATGGAAGACACCCATGTGGCTAAAACTCTGTTTGCTTGACAGAGGGTCTTACCAGAAACATCAGCTACTTTCTTTAAAAAAAAAAAAAGGAATTGTTTTTGTTTTAAATAAATCAAAGTAAGGCCCTTTGATGCCAACATGGGGATGTGACATTTTAAATTGTGCTATTTGCTGAGCTTATCCTGTGACAGGTCTTCATTTCTACCAAATGTCAAGGATCAACGCCTTGCATTCATTTTAATGAAATATTGTGCTGATAAGGATTATGAATGCCAAGTTTAAGCTGTAAATTACTAAATGTCAGGCTGCTTTATGCTTTGTGAATCCACCAGGGAGCCAGATAATGAAGGTTTCTTTCTCACTTCTTCTTACAGTTAGGGATTCACGGTTATGCCTTTGCAATCACGAATAATGGATATATCCTGACGCATCCAGAACTCAGACCACTGGTAAGAGAAATGCCTGTTTCTATGTTTCTCCTTTTATGATTTTAAGAGATTTTCTTCGGTTCTACAGTGATGACACTTTGCATCAGTGTTTATTTTGAAAGTTCAATTTACAGTATTTTGACACATAATACATAAGTGATGTAGGATAAATATATTTACTATCATTCTTTTATATATAAATCAGTATATATCTATGTACATTTTTAAATTTATTTCACTTCTGCCAACACATGCAAAAAAATTTTAACTCTAGACATTTAAACCCATCATAATGGGTACCTTTATATAACAAATGATCTCTCACACTCCAACGAGACCCACTTATTACAAGTTACATTGGACACAACAAATTAGACCCAGGATCCCTGGAAATTCATTACGGTGGGATTTGCCCCTGAATTCCATGGCCTAAGCTCAGTGCCTCCTGTGTTGAAGATATTCAACAATGCCTTTTTTGTTTAATCTGAACAGTGGAGATTTTCTCCGTTCCCTGCCTAAGCCATATCCAGTAGCATTGTTTGGTGACCTGATGTGTAAACCATTTTCCTTCTGAAGTGAGTGGGGTCAGGCCAGATCCAGGACAGCCCATGGTGTCCTTGTCCACCCTGCCCCCTGGGGAGAGGCTGCCTGGAGCACTGTGTTGAGGAGGAGTCCGAGGGGCAGCCAGGCTCAATGGCTGGGAAGCGCTGGGCTGCTGATAGTCTCCCCTGTGGACTCTGGAGGGATGTTGGCGGTGAGCGTGTTTGCTGTCTCTGGTCTAGTTTCAACGTGCTGAAAGAAGGACAGCCCTTTGGGTTTGAGTGTGTTTAGCTAATTTTACAGAAGATATAAAGTCATAAAAAATAATACTGTACACTCTGCTTTTGAGAGTTAAGAAAGTGTAGGTGGTTTTGTACAGCCAAACACACCCGTGTTGGCTTGCACCCACCCACCCCACACATTCTAGTTTCTTTCATCGTGATCAGAAAATAGTGGCTCAGGGTCTGCTGGGCGAATGTTTGCTGGGGCAGCATCACAGGGACCAGTTTGCTTCTCCCGTGGATCCTTGTCTAGAAAGAGCTCATGTTTGAACGGCATCATCATCCAACTTTGCTCTAATCGCCATGCTCTTTATGGAGTCTTGGCCACGTCATGTGGATCTCATGTGCATGCTTTAAGATGGGACTTATGGTAATATTTGATTTCAACAATCTTTTTATCAGAAAAGGGTTGCATTAACTGGTTAGCTGATTCCAAATGTAACTCAGAGGGATTGAAAAGTCTGATTGAAAAAGCTACTAATTTCTTAAGGATGTTTAAGTCTAAAAATATTTTTAAGTCTAAAAAGCTTAACCTGTTACCCATGTCCAAGCCAGTCGGGGTTGTCTGTTGCGGCTGAGAGGAATTACGTGTTTGTGGTGGAATATGGGCTCCTAGTGCTTATTTATTACAAATTGGAGTGGAAAAAAGTCAGTAAAACAATTAAACCTGGATCCTCTGCCCTTGAATGAATTAGCTTCCTATTTATCAGCTTTTTAAAAAGGAATGAACTGGAACCAGGCATCAGAAGCCACCAAGGTAACTTCTCTCTCTCTGTAGCAATGGACATGAGCAGCCCCCACCTGCGCAGTTGACTCACAGTGCCTTCCTGGTCCTTTATATCTGTTGGTCATGCAACACATGGCTTGTTTGCAAATAGTCCATCTGATAGACTTTCCAGAGCTGTGGCCACTGAAGGGGCAGACAAAAGGCTTCTAGAAAAGCAGGGCAAGCAGCCAGCACCCATCATCCCATGACAGTGCAAGTGCTCACAAATACAAGTCCTTTCTGTTCTTCTCACTGCTAAAACACTGTAGTGAATGGTTTCACCAAAAGTGATGGCCAGGGTCAAGTTCCCATGAATGGGATGGCCCAGGCAAATGCCCCAGCCTCTCACCTGTGAAAATCCAAACCAGATGGACCACTGTGCAATTGATCCATGATAAGAACATGAGGGGTGCCTCTGGGTGGCTCAGTCAGTTGAGCATCTGACTCTTGGTTTTGTTCAGGTCATGATCTCAGGGTCATGAGATGGAGTCCCGCTTCAGGCTCCACGCTCAGAATAGAATCTGCTTGAAGATCCTCTCCCTCTGCCCCTCCCCTCACTCTCTCTTGTGCGCACGCTCTCTCTCTCTCTCTCAAATATAAAATAAATCTTCACCAAAAAAAGAACACAAGGAATGGCCAGGCCATTTATCAATCTCTGACCCTGATTTCATGAGGTACTTAGGAGTGGTTTGGAGTGATGCCAACCATTGAGGATTACATGAACGAATCCACCCAAGTGTGATCGATAAGTGGATGTGGACTCTCCTTGAATTTTACATTTTCCTCTTGGACAAAACACAGCGGTGAAGTGGGAGGAACTCAACTTTAGCAACACACAGGTTGCCCTTGACTCTTGTCCTGCCATATCCTGTCTGTGTGACTTTGGGTAAGTCACACAGCCTCTCTGAGCTTCATTTTCTCTTGGGATCCTGCCATAACCATAACGTAGAGATCAGAGCTTTGTTGTCAGAGTAGATGGGATAATGCATGCAGAAAGCCTTGTGTGACAAGCAGACCCTGGGACATCATGGGGACAGTGGTGGTCCCTCCAGCTTCCTGTGTCTGTTATATTGCTGGCTCTATCGATCTGTGCTCAGCTGCTATAAAGGTTGGAGGATGTGGTGGTGGTGGATACTTTGGAGGATCTAAAGGACACTTTTTGATGATCTGGTTGCTTCAGACTGTTACGATAAATGTTGGCGAGGATTGTACACATGCACACACGCAAGCACGCATGTGCACAGTGTCAGTTTCCTAGGCCAACTGTGGTCTGGAAGACAGGTAGATGACAGCTGTACCATGAGGTTCTTTGTGAGCTCTCCCATGTGCGGAAACTAAAGTTCGTTGTTGTTGTTTGTTTTCAAAGTATCAATACAAGTAATAGTAAGAATTGTGGTAACGGAAGAGTGATAGGTCAGCTAGCTAAGCATCCGTCCATGTGGATGGAACTCTCCTGGCGCTGGCGTGCATGAGTGGTCAGTTCATCTTGGTTTTGCTTACCCCCACAACAAAGGCAGAACGTTTTTCCCCTTCCTTTTCCCTAAGCACCAGCCCCCTCAGCACACAGGAGGGACTCAGGAGGTGAGCCAAAGAAGGGACCCTTTAAAGCTACTGTTCGTTTCCACTTCTTTTGGGTCCTTCTGGAAAACGTTACTTGTGAGCTTGCCCTGGAAACCAGGCATCTGCACCGGACATCAGTCTCCCCTGATCAGACCCCTCCCGCACAGCTAGGGACAGCCAGCCGTGCTCCCCTGGCTACCTGGGGCAGGGAACCCTCCTTCCAACCCAACTCGCCTCTCCCACGCCCTCATGAGTCCTGATTATAAATGGACGTTGCCCTTGGTTCTGGCCAGGCCTGCCAGATTCGCACAGCGGGTGTGAGTGTGGGGTTGTGGCCAGCATGGGAGGATTGCGCAAGCTCACTTAGAATAACTCCAATTCCCTCTCCCTCTGCCACCGAGGCTGTTTCTTGCCCCTGCAGCCAGAGGAAAGAAGTGGGTTTCTCTGAAGCACAATACCAATATTTTTCTAATTTGTCCAATAAAATCTTCCCCTTGAACTTCATGTTTGGCTTGATTTTATCCAGTATTTTCTTTAATCTTGTGTGATTTGGGTGTGAATCATGAGGCATCTCCAAAAACAGCTCAGATATAGGAGCCTTCACTCAAACTTGCTTTCATTTCATTGGCAAAACTGCCATTGAATACTTTTCTGTTGATAACCGGGCTCTCTTTAATCTTTCTCCAAGTGTTTCTCTACCTCTGTATCCTTGCTACCACCTTGTGACTTCTGGAAGACTAGCGTTCATGCAGCACACCTTTACCTGGGTCCAGGTGTGCTGGGTCCTGTGTTGGCCTGGGGGCCGCATTGCTGTCTTCCAGTCCCTCGTGGTGGGGGAGTGGGACAACATCACAGCAAGAGGGACTCAAATTAGACCTGGAGGAATGCTGTTTGAGTAGTTCTTAGACATCTGGAAGTTTTCTTCTGGATCTTTACCACCCTTTAACATTCAGGTTAAAAAATATTTCAAAGTATAGTTACTGTTAAGATTTCGTTTTCTCATGCTTTATTTTCCCCACATCTTCCAAATATTTATGGATTTTTTTCCCCTAAAACGTGGAGCCCTGACCGTATGTCTTTTTCTCTTGCCCAACAGGGCATTGAGGGAAATAAAATTGGGAAGGTGCCATTATTAGCATGACCTGATTTTTGTCGAAATTTTAGTGTTCCATCTGCCCCTGCATTTTAGAAGAGAGGGTCATCTGAGTTGATTTCCTTCCCCAAGGAGGCCTGGAATGTGGACCTGGTCAAACCACCAAAAGAACACAAATAAGTCTCCTTTCCAGGAGCCACAACACAGGCAGGGCTCCACTGAGAAGCCTGGGGCAGGACTCATTTCCACGGAGACCGCGTGGACATCTGCCAAAAGCTGTTTGCTCTGTGTCTGTAAGCCTGGAAGATGGGGAAGGATGCTGGAGGGTTTCTCTTCTGGATGAAAATTTGCCAGTCACATCAGCCACTGGGTGTTGTAGGTGGATGAAATGGGGGTGGGGATGATGGAGAGAAACCTCTGTTCATCCCTTCAGTGTTTGCGGGGCACCCACTACGTTCTAGACCCGAGCAAAGTGCTCAAGGTGGTTACAGAGATGTGCTCTGCCTCAAAGAACTCAAAATCTAAAAGGATGGATAAGATTTTATACTTTGGGTGGCTAAGTGACTGTAGACATTACTGGAGAAGGTGCATTTCGGTATGTTTGCTATTGTTGTTGTTGGCTTTACTGTGTTTTTCTAACATCCATTGATGACTAATTCTATGACAGGTGCTGTGCTGTTTTACATGAACTAATTTAATAGGAAACCTATTAGTAGGTGTTGTGCAAAGGCCTGGAGGCTCAAAGGAAGGGTGCCTGTGGGGACAGGCCTGGGAAGAAGGT